CATAACTATATGTTGTCGAAGGCTTTCACGGCCGGAGTTCATTAGTTGCTGTAAATTTTCCGGGATGTGTGGTCGTGGTCTTGGCATTGTAGAACATGACGTTTCGCCAGTAACTGTGACTGGCATCCTCAGAGGTATAAACACAGAAAGATGGAATACTCTCTGTGTCAAGGTGAGAAGAAAATGGTAGGCAGTAAATTTATATCTACTCCAGAAGGTAGGTAAGGTAAGGTATGAGTTCCCCAGGCTATGGACATGTTAATGGAGGAGCTTTCCTGAGGTTCTTTTGTTTCCTGAGGAGGTTTCCTGCTTCCTGAGGAGGCTGAACATAGCCTAACTCAAACAGGACACAGTATTTTGTTCCAAGATACTGAAAGGTTGGACAACACTTTCAATTACCATGTCACATTACACAGGGAAGCCACTGAAATTCACAAACATAAACATAATTTCAACAGGAAAGAAGAGTTTAAAAATAAATAGGACATGGCTTCCTGTCCTGAAAAACACAAAAGGCTTTACATCAGATAATAGCACTACAGATAAGATTAGAATTTCAACAACCTCCTCAGGAAGCAGGAAACCTCCTCAGGAAACAAAAGAACCTCCTCAGGAAAGCTCCTCCATGCATGTCCATAGCCTGGGGAACTCCTACAAGACAATGACTCAGCCCTACCCACCTTCTGGAGTAGATATAAATTTACTGCCTACCATTTTCTTCTCACCTTGACACAAGAGTACTCCATCTTTCTGTGTTTATACCTCTGAGGATGCCAGTCACAGTTACTGGCGAAACGTCAGGTTCTACAATGCCAAGACCATGGCCACACATCCCGGAAAATCTACAGCAACTAATAAACATAACTGTCTAGACTTGCTTGAAAGGCAGAAGTTCCCTTTCAAAAACCACAGCAGGACAAAGGTTAAACTATGCATTTATGTCACTGCCTCTCCCCACATCTTGGTGTTGGTCAGCCTCTCATATCTTTACATGGTCCTGCATTCCAGCTGCAAATCATGTTAGTTTGCTTCAGCTGATTTAGCAAAGTTCCTGAACATATAGCATCAGCAAATCTGCCAGCAAAACACAAGCAGACAAGTCAATTACCTTAATGCTGTTCTAGATTTCAAAGTACCAGCACAAGCAGACCCTCAATCAGTACCAGTTTGTTGTTGAAAATACCAGGACAAAATTGGTCCTAGTAGCATTGCTGATGACATAAATTCAAATAATGAACTTGCACATGGAGTTATGGTCACACTGAAGTCAGTGGAACTCGCTTCCAGAATAAGGCTGTGTGTGTGTTTCACTCAGTTTTTACCCTTTGCCCTACAAGAAATCTTTGCATGTTTCTTGCACTTATCTAATTATACCAACCTGTATCCTCAGCAATGTGATCCTTTTCCAGACACTGTTTGGATCACAACATAACCAGGTTAAAGATGGAAACAGATGTCATGGTGGCTAGGCATGAAGTGTTTGCTTGTGTAAACATCTCATATGTTATTCATTACATATTCAGTATGTACACTGGCCATACAGATTTAGCTCACAGCAGCTCTGGCAGAAGTAGGCTGGCAAGCACTCTCTTAAAAAAATCCAACCACATGTAACCAGAACAAAAAACAACACTCCACACAATACATTTTATTAGGGCCAACCAAAATGACTCAAAGCATTGTGTGGGTTCCTAAGGTCACCAGAACTCACAGGCCAGATGTTTAAAAAATAATTAGGGGAGGGGAAAACATTTTTCATGCCATGATCTTAAGACCTGGTCTTGCCAGCATTTAGTGTGAGATGCAATGCAGGTTTTTGCATCACTGCTGGTGTTAGAATACAGCCCTTGCATCCTGGGAGAAGCAGGAAACAGCAATGGTGTCATCTCATTGGAAAAATAGAGGCCAGCAAAGTCAAAAAGTTGTTCCAAAGCCAGTTTGGTGTAGTGGTTAAGTGTGCGGACTCTAATCTGGGAGAACCAGGTTTGATTCCCCACTCCTCCACTTGCACCTGGCTGGATGACCTTGGGCAAGTCATAATTCTGGCACAGCAGTTACTGTCAGAGTTCTCTCAGCCCAACCTACCTCACAGGGTGTCTGTTGTGGGGAGGGGAAAGGAAAGGAGTTTGTAAGCTGCTCTGAGGTCCCGGTCACACGGGCCGGAAAATGTGGGGGGGAAGTGTGGCTATTTGCCCTAGAGCAAATTAATGCGTGGCCGCCGGATCACACGTTCTGCCGACGTCCCGTGGTTCGGGGGGAGGTACCGATCACACAACAATCCTGCGGCGTGGCAAAGAAGTGGCGCGGCGCGATCAGAGCAGCAATGGCTAGGCACTGCTGCCGTGGCAAACGGGGTTGTGTTTTTTAAAAAAACAAAAGTGTGCGCATGCGCCGTTGGGTGTGTGTGCGCATCCCATGGAGACTTGGGGGAAAAAACCACCTTTTTGCAACAGGACATGGGCGGGCGCCGGATGCCACAAACTACCACCGGAAACGCGATCAGACGCCCACCCTTGCCCTGCGGTTTCCGGAAACTAGTACCTTGGAGGTACTAGTTTATTTTACACCGCATCTTCGGCGGGAAGCCTCGGGTTAGCCACGGGAGCTCTACACTTCCCAGATGTTGCGGTGTGATCACGCCCAGAAAATCCGCCTATCTTCTGTCTCTGTAGCGTGGCTAATGCTCCGTGTGACCGCAGCCTGCGACTCCTTTGGGTAGTGAAGGGTGGGGTATAAATCCAATCTCCTCCTTCTCAAAGTGAAAAGCACAGTCCTTGTTGAGGGCTGAGAGCAGAAAGAAGCAATTTAGAAGTCTTCATGTTAACAGTGTTTGAGATAAATTTAAGATGATGCACAAGGTGTAACGCAGATCAGTATTTGAATCACAGAGGAATTGAGACAGCCTGGCTCCCCTACTTTTTTGACAACCACTTAGCTACTGTTTTTAGACTGCTACAGGGATGGGATTGATAAATTTAAGGTTGAAATCTTAAGGACTATTTATTTGGAGTAAGCCCTATTGAATAATCACAGACCTTCTTAATATGTTCCATTATTCAAGGATTTGTTGTCAGGCTGTAGGCCTTGTGGATTTCATTAAAGGCTCTCTACCCTTCTCTTCATAATTCAAGTACTGCTCTGACTGCAAATGAGTTGACTTGCACGATAAATATATTTTTATGTTGGTGGAACATTGATAGGGCATGCTTTTCCAGGGGCCACTATCATACTTTCGTCCTGAAATTTTGCTGAAACAAATGAACTAGAAAGGACAGAAAAAAACCTTCTGTTCGGACCAGCCATGCACATGAGGTCCAAAATCTCCTGTGTGAAGATAAGGAACAGCAAACAAAGTCACACAAATTCAGTGTGGACACCTTTCCATGTTCTTGGGATTGCAGTCTGCAGTGCTTGTACAGAGCAATCCTAAGAGCTTCTACTCGTGCAAGATCCTCAATGCTAAATGGGTATTTCAAGCAAGGTGAAATAAGGAACAGAGAGTTAGTGGCTTGATTCTAAGAAAATATGTTCGGCGATGTTCTTCTTCAAAGAGAACTGACAAGTGTATTATACAACCTCTGGCGGGGGAGGGCGGGATATAAATCAGAATATAAATAAAAAAAATAAACTACATAGCATATAGTGTCAGAGAACCATGGAAGGTATGTGAGTACATACATGTGTAAGAGCAGCAGGGCCAGCAGGGGGAAAAAAATAAGATGCTCAGCTGGAAGCAAATGACAACAGCCACTTTCCCATCAGTACAGCTGATACCCCTACACTTCCCTCCTCTTCTTGGGATCTACATTCAACCAGTGCCTCAGCAGCAGGGCGGATGCGCTCAAGCATCTTGTAGCCAGGAATATCTGTGCAAGCTGTCCTTTCCAGAGAAGATCACTTGCTAGCTTCAGTCGGAGACATCTTGGCAGAGTGCAAACTGTGGCACCTTCAAGATCAACAGACTTATTGTGGCATCAGTTTTCAAGGACCTGAGCCCGGTTGTTATTTTATTTACGCGACTGATAGTCTCTCCTTCTGAGGCTCAAGGCGGATTACATTCCCTCCTGCCTTCGGGCAGCATACACGGCTCTCTTTCTCCTTTTCTCCTCACCTCCACTCTGCGAATGTACTGTAAGCTCCTGACGGGTATAAGGCAACCCAGCGAGCTTCAGGGTTTAAGGCAACCCAGGCCTCCTCCGCCCGTGTCGACTCTTCTTTCTCTCTGAGTACACTAACTTCCTCAGATGCAAGAGGTGTGAAAAGCGCGCCGACAGACATTTCTATTGTGACGCAGCCTCTTCTTGCGTCTGCGCTGCCCCTCGGCCGCTCTCCTCCCTCGCCTCTCTCTTTCAACACCAAGTTTCCCTGCTCTCCTCGAGGGGCTTTCCCACCACTCCCAAACGACAGGGCGCCACCCCCATCCCAACCGCCTGGCCCCGAGGGATGCCTCTTCCTCCTAGCCTCAAGGCAGAGCTCTTGCGTGACTCACTCGCGATGGAAAGACGCTCCGGAGGAACCCATGACTGCTAACCGACGCTCCCTCTCTCTCGCGCCCCCTTCCTCCGCCGGCCGCCGCCGCCGCGCTCACGACCGCCTCCTGCTGCCAGAACAGGCGCCTTGGCTTTTTCGGTCGCGCGCGGTTACCTTAGCGACGGCTGCAAACACACTATTTCACCGTTCAGGCCGGTGCGGCAAGTGATAGCTCCGCCCACCATCGAACCAACAGACGGGAAGGCACGCCCCCTTCTGATCGTTGGTCCTAACGATTGACGGCTGGGCTGCTGCCGGCTTTTACCATGGGGACGCTTACCTTCGCCTCCCCTCGTGTCTCCTCTGCTGATGTGGAAAAACGGCTATGGGGGGTGACGAGAAAGAGGGAGAAGGATGGAAAGGTGGGCCTCTCTATCTCACACGACAATTAAATGGCTATCTCCGCGCCACATCAATCACTTCCGGGTCTGGGGGAGGCAACTTCCTTTTGTTGTTCGGCTGAAGGTGAAGTGAGGTCTCCGCCAGTTTTGCTGTTCGTATAGGAGTGATGATGTGACCCGAATTTGGTATAGCGAGCGAGCGAGCGGTGCGCGAGCCACTGGGGGTTCCGTCGCTGGTCGGGAGGGGAGGGGAGGGGCGGAAAGAGTATAGGAAGAAGTGGGATGGAGAGAAGATAAGGCCGAACGCTGTCTCTAGGCACCGGCCCGATATTCGCTTCCGGGATCAGGTAGTTCTGCAGGGGAATTGTGGCAGCATACAGCAGTACCTTATTGCTCGTGCTGGACAGCTTTGTTAAATTCTTGAATAATAATAACGACTTCGTAAAGCTTTGCTTTTATGATGTTTGGGATGTGTCTGTTTAATCAGGAAAAAAGCAGCCCTGAAGGGAGCAATCAACCACGAGTGATGTATCCCAAATGATAAATTGCTATTGAAGCGCAGCTGGTAGTGGCGTTCGTCCATTAAAAAATTCCCCATGAAACTGGAATGTAAATAAAAAATAGGAAGAGCCAAAGCATCACAAAACAGTGTGCAATCTTTTTTCTAAGACTTTGGTAACTGTTCAATGTGGAATTGTTTGCTGACTGTGAAGACTCCAACAATCAATATCCTTTCCCAGATTAGGGCACGGGTCACCAAAAGTTCAACCCTTTTAAGGCCCATTGATTTGAATGAGAGAGGCAAGCACCTGTTTAAAAGTGCTTGGATTTGAGTGAATGTTACCTTTTGGCAATATTGGGCACAGCTAAGCTCTGCCATATAAGATTTACCAAGCCAGTGTACTCTACATGGGAGTAAATACTTTGAACTTAGTTGGATTTACTTTTGGATAAGGATAGAATTAAGCTGCACATGAGCTCTAATATGTAAATCAGACTTTATATGGTTGTAATAAGTCCCCTCTTTTGGTTTGTAGAAAATGATTATACACTTATGGAGCTATTTGTACAAACATGTCTTTCGATTTTGGATAAAATGGATCTTGAGACAGCTCACTGGAAAATGTGAACTACAACGTATCTGTGATGGTTCAAAGAAAAGTGCAGAAAGGACACTCAAAATAGGTAACTACTTATTGTTTTATTTTATTCATTTATACCCTGCATTTCTCCCCAATGGGGACCCAAAGTGGCTTACATCATTCTCCTCTTCTTGATTTTATCCTCAGAACAACCCTGTGAGGTAGGTTAGACTGAAAGAATATGACTGGCTCAAGGTCACCCAGTGAGTTTCCATGGCATCAATGGGGATTTGAACCTTGGTCTTCCAAAAACTGCACCACACTGACTCTCAATTTAAAGTAATAGTTATGTTTCCATTTCTAAATTTAATTCATCATAGACATCAGAGGATCTGTGAGACCTTGTACCTTTCATGAAGATCTTCTACTCTTTGAGTAACAACTTCTCTTAATTTTTTTGGTTGGTGATTGATGCAAGGGTGTCAAATGAGTAGACATGGGAGAAAGCTGACATAACTTAGTGCAGCCACTTATGAGTACGTGGCTAAGAAACACAGTAAAGCATTTTATACTCATAAGTTATAACTTTCATAAAAGATGTGGGTGGAGTTTTATACTGAGTTGGGCAACATCACCCTTCCTCACTCTTATCAGCGGTTTCCAGTGATGCAAGAAGCTCTGTTGGTGCAAGAGGAAAATGGGGGTGATGTTTGCAGCTCACCATGCTTTGTCGCATTTTATCCATGAGACTCCTGTGACTGCCTAGAGATTTTCCAAGACTTGTTGGGGGAATGGAAGAGAGGGAAGATCACAATCGGTGTGTTTTAATGTTGTTGTGCTGATGCTTGGGTGCTGGTGTTTTATTATGGATGTTCTCATGCTTGTTTCTCTGTGTATGACTTTCTAAATAGAATACTTTTGTGGGAAAGAATTTGAGTGACTTCTTGCTGGTTAATGGTTATTCTTTTATAGATTATTTAGGGGATCTTAAATCAAGGTCATAAGCATATTTTTTGATCTGTTCTCAATGAATTAAGCAATCCAAATCTTGATTTTGTGCACTGTGGTAACTTGTCAATGTTTATTTTATAGAACATTCACTGGAATCATCAAAGAATAAGGTAAACTATCTTGATACTGTGGTTAAGATACAAGGCCAAGGATTTGCATGTGTTATGTGGATTTGCCTTGTTTCTGAGCAGGACATGGGTTGCTGTCACAAACTGCTTTAGAAATTCACAGTGATTGCAGAATCAGTTTGTCAGAACTGTTGTGACAGACACACAAGCCTTAAAGCATAGTTGGGCATGTAGAACCCATTCCACAGTTCTTTACATATGTCCTAAGAATAAGGATTTTCTTTTGTATGAGTCTCTTGTGTTTTTCTACAAAGTGGTGTTCAAATCATAGCATCATTCACAATGTTTCACTGAATTGTAGTTTGAACTGAACTGACTTGTGGAACTGTGCCAAATTAGATTTCAACAAATTTAGCTGTGCTAGCAGAACCCTTTGAAGATCATCAATATATCTGATACTCAACAGCCAAAGCTATGTATACTTACATCCAGAGACTGGAGCCATGAACAATCAAGACAGATTTTTCTACAAACCTGGAATACACCCCAGGTTAGCAGAAAAATCTGAAATCTAAATTTAGCTCCCCAGATAACAAGAAGTGGTACTTGTAGCTTTTAAGAAATTAATGCCAGGCAACTACAACAATAATGCCAACATTCAAGCCATGGCTTCTGTCAGTAAAAGGTAGGGGGAGTGGGGGCCTTTCCAGTGCTGTTTTGGCCTTTGAGAGAAGACTGTTACAAGTTTCTGTTTATTAGCCCTGATCAGCACAGCTTTTTTAAGCAAGCCATGTCAATTAACTGTCAAGTAGAAGTTGTCATGTAAATCAATTCATATGTACTTGGACTTCTCACAGAGCCCATGCTGATTAAACATATCTCTATGCTGGCTATTGCACATTATTATTAATATTATTAGTTTTAAAAATATTTGGCACTGACAGATTTCAGTCTTAATAATCTTCTGACATTCTATAAAGCTTTTTTTTTAGTGGCCACTGCTAATAGATGGTGTTTCAGTGAATTAATCAAAGGAGTACTTAATTCAACCTGTGCTGTGTTGATCAGGTATTACAAAGTGCTGTGCATGCTCCTGAGGATGAAGTGAAAAAATACGTAGCACTCATCATGAAAGAAAAGAAGATTGATATACAGAAGGATACAGGGTATGTCTGCTTCTGTTTCAAAAATACTGTTGTTCATGACCACGTCTTTTGCGACTCTATTTCTTTCATTCAAGCAGACATTTATTGCTTGAAAAATTGTGTGCAAGCTTTGGAGTTCTTCAGAACTCTTCCTCAGGCTGGATGTTACAAAATAAAAAAAGAGGTGGGAGAAAAATGAGAGATAGTTCAGGCTGTGATTTAGGTCTTTTCTCATCAGCATCCCTGTGCTCAGTGCAGATGGGGAAAGTAGATATACATTGGCATCTTCCGTGTCAGGTTGCTTTGTAGTTCCCTGAGCAAGATCAAAAATGTATCTCCACTGGAATTACAATTCTTCTTGTACCTCTTTGACATCAAGCAAGATTTTCAGATCCCTTGTAGGCCAGAGCAAAGGGATTACTTGATAGCTATTGTATTAGAAATGTTGGCGATAAATTTCAGGTGATACATGAGGATGTAAAGTCAAACAAAGCCAAACTGGGTAGTTTTGCCTCATGTTGTGAGTAAATTCCCATATGCTTAGTCTCTTGCTAGTAGCTTGGCCTTAGGTCCAAAAGAATGATGCTGATGTAACATTTAGGGTGTTTGATATTCTGGTGACTTTGAGAAGGTATTGGAGTGTTTGTCTAAACTTGCTAAAGGCATAAATGAACTAGGCAACTGTATGTGCAGAAGGTCCCAGATTCAATCCCTAGTATCTCCAGTTAAATGCACCTGGTAGAAGGTGATATGAAAGACCTCTTCCTGAGACCCTAGAGAGCCAGTGATATTCTGAATACACAATACTGACCCTGATGGGCCAATCGTCTGGTTCAGTATAAACCAACTTTATCTGTGTGTGTATACATACAGATTGGAAAATCATGGGAAGTTGTTTGGTTGTTCCTGCACACACTGGTCAGCTTGATACAGGACTGTGCCTATATTGCCCACATTTAATTTTTGTCATGGTTCCTGTGGTTTTACAGTAGTACAAGCTTGCTAGCTGGGAATACCAAAAAAAGATCTATTTCATTTTTTAAACAGTATTAGCAAAACTAATTAAGTTCAGTTTTATTGCAGATCAAATCTGCCATGTTTATAGTTATGTGTTTTGCATATATTATAGGTTCTCCTTGAAGCTCCAAATGTGTTTGCTGCAGATAACTGGTTATAAGAAACTTTATTTGGATGTAGAAGATCTGAGAAAATGTCAATATAACTCCTGTAACGAAGGGCATGAGAAGCAATTAATTGAGGTAAAAATTATTGTTGGATTTTATGTGGCTCATTCAGCAAATTCAGATTTGTGACTGAAATGCATTTTGTGTTCATAATGGTTCACCAGAGTTGCACACCTATGATTGCAGCTGTCTGTGAGGTGCACCTGTTATTGTACTTCAACACTTCTTGCCAGTTATAGAAACTTCTGAATCATGAAGAGCAAACAGAGAGAAATGTCTGTAATAACAGTAAAACAAGTGCTCAGTCTAGTGAAACTGATTAACGTTTGGCTCAGTAAAGGAAACAGGAAGCCTTCACGTAACACATAACTAATTGATGGAATTAATTGTTGCAGGATGTTGTAATGGCTACTAGCTTAGATGGCTTTAAAGAATAGTAGACATATGGACAATAGAGGTATATATGATTGTTGCTCATAAAAGTTAAAACATTCATAAATTGAGATAATATATTTTTAATTGGAGCATAGAACAGTAGAATAATTATTAAGACAATGCTGCTTAGAAGCTTTTAAAGGCATTTAGATGGCCAGTGTTGGAGAAAAAAATGGTAGACCTTGCTCTGATCCAGGATGGTGGTACTTAAGTCAGTTGCTTTTGGACAGCAGGCCAAAAATTGAATGTGGCCTGGATGGCTCACCCTTGCATTTGTTGGCAAAACTTTTAAAATACATTGATCAAAAACTTAATTATTACATGTTATGCATGTTTCAGAATGTTTATGTCAATTGTTGATGTAGTTTGTTTTGTCTATAACAAAAAGGCATAATGTTGACTATATCTTACTGACTGATGTTGTTCAGAATGAGGATGGGAAAATACTGATAATTCTGTTAACAGAACAATATTTATGCAGCTTTGGAATTTGTTGATGCCCCATGAAAAACTGAAGGCTAGAATCACGAAGCAGTGGTGTGACATTGGTTTCCAAGGTGATGACCCTAAAACAGACTTCAGAGGAATGGGCATGCTGGGATTAGTTAATCTTCTGTAAGTCAAAATACTTTTCCATGGTTTAAAATCAAATACATCTAGGTAACAGGGGGTATGTTTCTACAATGTACTGAGTAGAGAAGTGAAGCACTTAGTATGGGATTTAGTGTATAGAATATAGCAGTATTTTGAAGCCCATTTTCCTGTCATTCATGGAAATTAACTCTACTAATTACAATATGCAGTGGAGATATTCTGAAAAAATAGTATTTTTATCACTAATATAAGCACTGTTTTCTAAATTGAAGTAATTTACTTTCAGTGTTTTTGTCTCTTTTCAGTTACTTCAGTAAACATTATACCCATGAAGCACGTCAAATCCTTACTCGTTCAAACAATCCAAAACTGGGGTAAGTTACTTCTACAAAAAGAATAAAACAGTTACCAAGGTTAACATTTACAGCTGAAGAACAAAACCAAAACCGTCATGTCTATAGAAGATCTTTTAGTCATGTGTGTGGAGAGGGGCAGAAGAATGACGAGATGAGGTCACTCTGACAGATTTTTAGCACATGTAGGTTCAGAGATTTCCCCTCCCTGGAGGAGCCCAGAGTGGCATACATGGTTCTCCTTCATTTTATTCTTACAATAACCCTGTATTCAATGCCCCCTCTAAGCTGTGGAGTTTTAGGCTGGCTACTGTCCAAGTAACATACCTCAGCGTATCTTGTTTTTTGCCCATTTTGAACATAGGACAAAAAGTTTGAAAACAGAAACCACCAATATTGTTGTGAACAAAAGGAACACTTTATTATCTGGGATTAGAAATAGTATGTATTGAATGTGAACATCCTTCTTGTCTAAGACTAAGATGATGGTTCTGAGACAGCAATCACATATGCATTGTAAAATGCAGGCGAATTGAAGTATGATTGTAAATCAGCCTTCCTGCATACCTAGGAATTTCAGAACCTAGTACCTGCATTTAAAACTGATTTTCTGTTCACACATGCACACTGACAGTGAGAGGAGTACTTTATTTAATTTAGACCCTGCACCCTTTACCCATAGGGGACTTGGGACAGTTTCCAACATCTAAAACACAATAAATACAAATAAATATAAAGCAATAAAACCCATTAAAACATTGACAAGAGCAGATTACTCAGAGAATTAAAACAACTGGCCATTTCCCTGATTCGTAATGTTAACCAAAGGTTGCACAAAACAAATCAGCCTTACATGCCCTACAGAATGCTGAAAGCTCCCTCAGGGCATTAATTTCCCTGGGGAGATGGTCCCAGAGAGAAGGGGAACCACTGAAAAGGCCCTGGTGGTTGACAGGCGGGCAGTTGTAGAAGGCCCTGTAATGATGATCTGAAAAGGCGAGTGGGATGATACTGGGAAAGGCAGTCCTGCAGGTAGGACGGTCCCAGACCATTTAGGGCTTTATAGGTCAAAACCAGCAGTTTGAATTTGCACCAGAAGTAGACTGGAAACCACTGCAGGTGGCCAAGTGGTGCAGAACGCAGCAGCATGGGTGTTGATTTCGTCATCTGTGCAGATGCATATCCACCCTGTGTTGCGTGAATTGCATTGGCTGCCTATTGAGTACTGGATCCATTTCAAGGTGCTGGTGCTTACCTTCAAAGCCCTATATGGCCAGGGGCCTGCATATCCCCTTATGAGCCCTGTAGGACATTACAGTCTGTGAACCAGCATCTCCTGGTGGTCCCTGGCCCCAGGGACATCCACCTTGCCTTTCTCAGCCATGGCCCCTACCTGGTGGAATGAGCTCCCATATGAGATCAGGGCCCTGCAGGACCTTTTACAGTTCCGCAGGGCCTGCAAGATGGAGGTCTTTCACCAGGCTTTTAGCTGAGGTGGTGGGTGTCTACACCTTATTGGGCCTCCCCTCCAGTGACCCAGATCTGAGTAACCATCTGGAACCCCAGCTTGTGGTAGATCTCATCTGTTGAGGCTCTGGTTAGGAGTATCGGAAAGTATAATTTGTATTTTAATTTTGATGCTTTTTAAATTGGTTTTAACTGTTATTTGCATATTTATGCGATTGTTGACTTGGTATGATGGAACCCGCCCTGAGCCTGCTATGCGGAGAGGGCGGGATATAAATAATATAAAATGAAATAATTGTATCCATAAGTCTCCGTAGGTGAGCATAAATAAACTCATCGCCCCTGCAGGAGGGAGGGGCAGAACCCAAATTGATCCTTGCAATGAAGTGATCTGAGCATAGCACCGGTTCACACAAAGCCATGGAACTTGTATCAACCCTTGCACAAAAGAGCAAATCCGGTGTGTGGCCTGCTTCATGCATGGGGGCCAAAACAATTTGGGTGCCATGGCAGTTACGAAGTCTGAGGCAGCCCCTAATTAGGCAGATTCCTCATGGACATTGAAATCCCCCAAGACTAAAAGCCTGGAAAAGTGCAAAGTCCGTCCCCCACGCTGCCTCAGCTAGCAAACTAGGCGGGCAGTAAACCAGCAAAATGCTCAGCCTCTCCCTGGCATCCCACACTAGGCCAATGCATTCAGTGCCGGGGATTGTTGCTGCAGGGGATCCTTTGAAAGGAGGAAGTATCTCAGATCAAGATTGCCACTTCGCTCTCCATTTCTCCTATTGAAGGTTTTTGGAGGTCCAAGTAACATGGAGTGTCATCTGAGTGAGTGGAACCACTTCATCTTCGCCCATCTAGGTCTCAGTCAAGCACGCCAGGTCAAAATTCCCTCTCCAGATAAACTCCCTGAGGATAGCAGTCTTGTGTTTTATTGACCTCATGTTACACAGCATCAAGCTTAAGGAGGAGGAAAAACTCTGGAACTGCACACCATCATTCCTTGGATGAATTGGGGATGAGAAGTCTGAGCATTCCCATATCCAAAATCTTCATCTTCTCCCACCAACATGCCCTGCCCTGTGGCAATATTGTTTCAAGACCAAGGAGTCAAACCAATTTAAAAAATGTGTTGTACTGACTAGCAGGCTTGGAGTATCAGGTACCAGAGTCATCAGGCCAGGCAGTCCAAAGACCAAGGTTCCAGAAAGTCAGGCAAGGCAAGGCAAAGTCAGTGGCTGAGTGTACACATTGTAACCATGCCTGACAACCTCCCTTGGCTGGTTTTTATGGCCGTACAATTAAGGATCATGCCTGCAGCCAGCTGCTCAGGAATATTCCCGCAACTACTCATCTTGGTTATCAGCAAACAGGTGGCGTTGGGCCAGGAGGTGTGCACTTTGCTTTCTCTCCTGTAGCTCTGTTCTTAGCCTCCATCTGTGGCACTTTACGGGTGTGGGTGATGCTGGAGGGCTGGACACGACCAACTGAGCTTCACCTGTGGAATCAGGGCCATTGTTCCCTCTAAGCTGAGTTAGTGTGAGCTAGCTCACAGCTTTTTAGCTTCTGGCTCACACATTTTTGTCTCAGCTCAGGAAGGAGGGCTCCAGAGCAAGCTAATGCATGCAGTAGTCAAATCGCTCACTCACAACTTTTACACCATTCGCTCACAAAATAGAATGTTTGCTCACAAGGCTCCACAGCTTAGAGGGAACATTGATCAGGGCTGGAGGGTATCAGTGGCTTTGTATCATCTGTTGGCTGTGAATTCTGACAAGCCTGCAGCTCATCTTCCTGCTTGCGGCTTCTACAGACTCAGAGCTCGCTACACGGGGCTCCTCTTCTCTTGAGGAGTCCTCACTATCGTTGAGTCCTGACTGACTCATGATGGGTAATGTTTAGGTTGAGTAGAATTAAAACAAAACTTTAATCTCTGGTTCAAAGGCACCATTGTTGGCTGTGCAATACAACTTTGATAATTTTCAATATGAATAATGGTTAACTGCAGAAGATCAGTTTCTATAGTTTTAAGAATGTTGTATTTTGCAGATATTCCTATGCAATAGTTGGGATCAACTTAACAGAGATGGCTTACAGTTTATTGAAGAACGGTGCTTTAAAAACTTACTTCTACAACCTGGTTCCTTCTGTAGCACAAATGGATCACTTCCATCGGTTTTACTGTGAGTATCTGTGACTGTCCGTTACTGGCTTCTGCATTCTTGGGAATTGTTCTTCCTGAGCTAATTACCAGTTGATAGTTCTTGCTGTTGTACTAGATGATAAGCTGCTGTAATTACAGAAATATGTGAAATTGGGAAAATAGTATGTTTCTTGAAAAAACGTATTAAAAGATAACCTGAACCAGAGGCTGCTGTTGTATCCTGCAGAATTAGTTGCAGTATTGAGAACACTAGAAGTAAGCCAAGCCCTAGTGACTAACATGAGGTTTACTTCCAAGTAGACTTGCTTTCAGTTAAATGAAAGCTGAAGTTGTATGAGCTGATTCCCCCATATTCTCTTAATAAAGAAATACAGTGTTTGTTATATGCAGTGTTCTTGATCTCTCTTAAATTTCTTATTCAGTGTCAAAGAGTCCAGATTGAAATCAGAATGAATTTTCAAAAGGAGTTAGATACAGCATGGGGAGAAGGGGAATGCTTTTCAAAGGAAGAAAAAGTCCAGAAATATCTCTGGGCGCACTCAAACACTTGGGTGTGCCTAAAGGAGTTATTTTGATTGGATACTGTATATTCAGAGGATCAAGTAAAACTTGCTTTAGTAATGGATACCAGTTTGTATCCAATGAAATCCACTTGTGTAATGGATCTCACAGCCTGCAGAGGTCCACTGAGACCTTTGTCCTTGAAATTTTGGTTTGGGGTCCCGTGAACCCTTAAGAACAACATAGGGTGCAAAATGGGGGGTTGCTTTGGGAAGAGGGAGGTTGGAAAAAGTTGCTGTCCCCTCTTCTGGCAGTAGAAATGTCCTTAAACTACATGGTTGTATATAAGCCATTATTTTATTTTTTAATATTGCCTACAAGTAAACTGTTTTCTCTCATTAAATGTTGTTTTGGTTTTCACAGGTTATTTGGCATATGAGTTTGACAAATTTTGGTTTGAAGAAGAACCAGAAAGTATTATGTACTTCAATCAGTACAGAGAAAAATTTCATGAAATAATCAAAAGACGTCTTCAGGATTATGATGTAGTCCTTGCCTTATAAAGTGAAAAATATTGTTCAGTCCTTTGGGTACTGTACATAAAAATTATGCACTTCAATGGAATCCTCATTTTTAACCAAAAATCTTCACCCAATGATCAAGTTTTATAACTTTAGAAAATTTCTTGGGAGAGCTTGGACAATCAACACTAATTTAGAACTGTATGCTATTTGCTGAAGGGGAGAACTTTTAAAATACAAAGATCTTCACTGGATCATAGGACATCATAACTTTTGTACACTTCTTCTGGCAGGAAGACGAGACAGGTACTTGGGCTTTGTCATATTACCTAATAGCTGCCTTTCCAAATATGACTAGGGATTAGTTTACAGCCAGATATTTTCACTACTTTTCAGAACAGAAACAACTTTGGTTATAGATTTGTGTTGGGTTCTGTTTTTCTAATATGTAACATGCTTTCTTGTTGTTGGAGGAAGGGACATGCAAACAGATTAAATCATTTGGATGTGTTAACATCTCTACTTTGGGTTAAATGAGATTATTCTGTAATGATTTTGTTAAATGGATTTAAGGGAAATATGCAGCTGGATCACCAGATAAAAAAAGCTTTTGGTAAAAGAAGTCTTTGTATGCTTCCAATAATACTTTCAACTAAATGTTTTTCTGGGCAGCAGACTTCATATTTCAATTATTGGACTTTTTTTTTTTTTTGGTCTACCAACACATTCACAGCTGGTAGAGAAGCCTGGAGCTCAAAATTCTTAGATAATGACAAGTAATCAGTCAGTTAACTGGATTCTTCTATACATTTTATTATATATTGAAGAAGGCCACTTGGGTGGCATATTCCTAGACAATCAAAGCAATAGGATTTTATATCTATGGTAAATTTATTAATCCTTTTCTAAAAATGTTTGGTTTCCAATCTATTTATGTTTGTGTTCTGCTGGGGCTCAAAAGTTAATCTTCAAAGTGCCTTCTTCTGACTACAGTTACACCTCATCCTTTTGGAACTGGGGCTCTGTCTGTTGTGGAACAGTTCTGGGTACATAGTGGTTCCTATGTTAAGAGTTGATACAGCAGATTTAGCAAAATACATATGTACTGCTTAATCTTGCTCACCTGATCATTGGCTAGATAGCTGTTCTTTGTTTGCAGTGTAATTAAGAGCGCAGCAAATAACAGTCTAAAGGAAAATAGGATTTCAGATAACTACTTGCAGACACTTTAATATTGTAGTCATTATCTACCCTGCAACTATTACTTATAGCCTGTAGCTTCTAACTAGTACCTGACACAGGTTTTTTTTAAAAATCTGATATAGTTTACAGTAAAGTTTAATGTCTTAATAAAGCTTCTCAAAGTCTTTCTGGGGGAGGGGGTGAGAGAGGAAAGGAAGATTGAAAATACAGTGTCTTCATCTGTTTCTGTAACTGTTCAATATTTTTTGTGGAATAAAAGGCACTAATTACTACAAACATACCTGGTGTGAACCAAAATAAACTTGGTGTGCACAACAAAAAATCCATATGGCTTAAATGCTTCCTTGGAGCTCTTGTGTGCTGGGATAGCCCTCTCTTTACGTCTCATTTGTTTTAGGATTTTCTGTCATGGAGGAACAGAGTAGCTGTATATGAGTACTTAAGTTGCTGGTTCATAATGTCATTCTTGTCTGAAATACTGCAGTAAATGACATATGTCCTTTTTGTGTAATTTGGAGGTACTGTAATCACACACTGAGTTCTATTTGAGGGGTTTTATAATAGCTTAATAAAGAAAGTTGTGGATGTTTAAGCAGCAGTTCACTAAAAATGTCACTGTGTTACGCATATCAGAACTAAAGGAAACTGAGGATACTGAGGCAAGTATGCATAGACTTTTGTGCCAGAGGAGATATAAGGGCATGTCTTAATGTTGCTCAGTCATCACTTTAGTGCTGAACCACATTAGTTTTATTCACAAAAATTTTTTTTTTGCACAAATCCAATGTATCATTTTTAATGTGGATTGCAGAATCTGCATGGACCCAGTGAGTTCCTTAGTGTACCTTTTGCAGATTTGGTTGAGTTCCCATTAGCTATAGGGTATGCTGAATCTACCCATCTGAGAATACTAGGGTCACAAAACAATTGTCAATAAGCAAGTTTCTGTCAATGGGACTTAAAAATCTGTATGAAATATCAAGGCAATAGGTATCTCTACTCCTGTCAAAAGCATAGAAATACTGCACCTATATGAGAAATTCCATTAATTTCTTAAAGCAGAAATGTGTGGAATTGCTTGGTTCCTCCCAGGAAATGCTTCAGAAGGATCAGATGTATGAATTCTGATTCTGCCCAAGTTCCAGACTGGATTCCAGCTATGAATGAATTTTGAAACTAGCAATTTGGTTTCTAGAATAGCTACAAAATCTTGCTATACAGAAGCCACTATTTGTGGAACAGGTTAGCTGTTAAGTATTGTAAAACATCTAATGAAAATAGTTAACGGCAAGCCAGAAGATGTTGGTCACTAACTTAATCAGTTTAACAGTGAATGATTATTTTCCCCCCCCCCCCCCCCCCCCCCCCCCGGTGCTAACAGACATAGTTGGAAGTTGTTTGTAATGAGATTTTTGTAGTCTCAGAGAGAGCAGTTGCTATATTTTAAATACTTCCAACTGGAGTAATGTTTACCTTCATTAACTTTTTGAATATATATGTATATATGAGAAGCTACTGTTCTTCCTCTGTTGACTGTCTTCTTTTAATGCAGGGCAGCATTCCCTCAATATGTAGTTCTATGTAGATGTCTATTCAGGTTTAATTAGTTTTCCAGTGCACTGTGTTCAGTCTGCTTGTATTTTCTTTAAGGAGTAATGCATTTATTGTGTTTGGAGTATGCAAGTAGTCTATTTTTGGAAACATGAAACTTTTTTTTTAGATATCACTTTGTAAAAGTAAGTTTTTCTGTTGAATATCGCATTCAGACAATCTTATGACAATACATTTGTAGGTCTGCACTTTTTGAATAAAAACAACTATTCTCATCTTGAATAAAATACTAGGGCTGGCTCACATGTGAACAGCTGTTCATATCTGCACACAATCCTATACATGGGTAGATATGAAGAAATGTGAATATAATTAGGGTAAGGGAATACAGATATGGCTGTTTCCATGATTTTTGGAACCATGCAGCTATGATGACAGATCTGGCTGTTGCTCTCTGTGTACTTTCTCCTGCCCCTATCACATTCCTTTTTCTTTGAGAGCTTGTAAACCTGATCATATTGGGAAAATCCAGCTGCTCATATGAAGGGTTCCATTGCAGTGTTGTTTAAATGTTTAAAATTGCATGTGTTGACAAATAGTGGTTAAGAATTTGATACAGCAACTGTAAGGCCTATTAATTCCTTTCAGCTGACAATCTCAAGTAAATGCAAGTGCTCAAAGATGTATTCATCTTCAGATTACCTACAGAGTAGATGTTGACAAAGTCGAATTTGCAAATAAAGACTGCTATTTTATTATGACCCAATACAGGACATTAAACCTGTATTTCAGACATGCAACTTCCATATACTGAGTCAGACCACTGGTCTATTAAGGCCAGTATTGTCTACTCAGACTGGCAGCAGCTCCTTGAAGGCTCAGATGGCAATCTTTGAAATCACTTACCCAGTTAAAACGATTAGGTAGTATATTGGGCTTTAAACCCAGGACCTTGTGCATACAAAACAGATGTTCTACCACTGAGCCATGACCCCTTTCCGTATGCTATTGATAACTTGAAAGGTCATCTATTGTACATTCCAAATGTGGAAAATGACAACATGCTCCTGAAGATGTCTTTTAAAGCAAACTTGTTAGTTTTCTAAGTTATACTGTTGTACATAAGAGGTTCTGTTCCCTACTTACTGTTTGTTTCTAGTCTGTACTGTTTGCACTTGTAGTAGTTATGTCTGAGAAGGTAGCTTTTACAAGCCTTTCAGTTGTTATTTGTGTTGTGCTCCTTTCTGCTAAAACCAATGATTTGTAAATCTGTATGGTGTAAGACCCACTGTCCTCTACTAGAAATGTACGTGCCTGTTACAGTATGGAAGCAATAAAATGTTGTTTGGAATGGATCAGAAGTACTGACAAATAAAGATCACATGATTAGAAACTCATGTGGTATACAGTATTAGTGGGGCTGCTATGTGGAGAAAGGCAGTGGCAAACCCCATAAAAGGAGTCACCATGAGTTGGTTGTGACTTGATAGTATTTTTTAAAAAACTGGCTTTGGTAGGTTATAATTTTAGTGCCCTTGCATACAACCCCCACTTCTATTCTTTAGTTACGTCAGAACATATTTAGAACCTGCTAGCTCAGACCAGTAGTTCAGTTTGCCCAGCATACTGTTTCTCCAGCAGACAACTCGGTTGCCCTGCAGAGCTAAGCAACTAGGCCATAGAGGCCAAGGCCCTTCCCTCATAGTCCTCCCCAGCATTGGTATTCAGAGGTTTCCTTCAGTCACCATGGCTAGTAGCCGTTGATGGTCCTCTCCTCTATGAATTTCTCTAACTCCTCCTACTTCTACTGGCAGTGACTCACAGTTTAATTACTTGTTCTCCGCACTTTTGATGGAATTCAACAGACCCTTGCAGACTCAGTTAAAAGACTGGAGGGGGGCACACTGGATCCAGCTTTATTGCTGGAGAAACAAGTTAATGCAGCTGCAAAAAAGGCTTTCTACCAACTGAGCCTAGCTTGTAAGATGGCCCCTTGTCTTCATACCGCTGACCTGGATCCATGCCACAGTAACATCAAGGGTAGACTACTGTAATGCACTATACAGTGATCTCCCCTCAAAAGCTCCAACTTGTCCAGAATGCTGTGGCTTGCCTATCAATAGGACTTAGACGGAGCATGGAAATTACTCCCATTCTACAGATGTTCCATAGGCTGCCCATCTGTTATTGGTATCAGTTATCACATACAAATTCATAACCTTGGCCCCTCTTATTTGTGGGACTGCCTCTCCCCCTTTGCTCCACCATGACAACTTTGCTCATGTCAGCAGGGGCTTCTAAAGGTGCCAACCTGCGAATTGGTAAAACCAATAACTGCCTGTACATAGGCTTCCTCAGTTGTGGCTCCCACCTTGCAGAATGGCCTGTGCCGGAAGGCCAGGAAAGCTCCCACTCTCTTGGCTTTCTGCAAACTATGTAAAGCAACTATTCAAGAGGGCTTTTCTACACAGAATAGTAGGGTTGCACTGTTCAAAAAAAGTTTTACAAACTCACTTGGGTCAATGATTAGGCATGTAGGCAATGTTTTAATTGTAAAGTAAAGGTAAAGGTTCCCTTGCTCGAAAGGGACTCTAGGGTTGTGGTGCTCATCTCCGTTTCAAAGCCGAAGAGCCAGCGCTGTCCGAAGACATTTCTGTGGTCATGTGGCCGGCGTGACTAAACACCAAGGTGCACGGAACGCTGTTACCTTCCCACTGAAGTGGTACCTATTTATCTACTTGCAATTTCTTGTTTTGAACTGCTAGGTTGGCAGGAGCTGGAACTAGAGACGGGAGCTCACTCCGTCATGCGGCACACTTGGGTCTCGAACTGCTGAACTACTGACCTTCCACAGCCTGCAGTTCAGCGTCTTAACCACTTGAGCCACCGCAGCTCCTTGTTTTAATTGTAGATATGGGCAAAATGTTGATGGAGGCAGATGAAATTGTGCCTGAAGGTACTCAATCTGTCATTGTTGTCCAAGAATTGCATTGTCATAAACCTGGATTTATTTCAGATAATAGTGCTTTGCCCTGTCTTAACATTGGGATGCTCTACCACATAAGGTCTCCATGAGAATATGGGTCAAAGCCTAAAGACAAACCCAAGTCCTTCCATGCCCTCCTACCAGTCATTATATCAGAGAATATATGGTTGGGTTTCTAGTATTTTCCAGTCTCACAGGTAATAAATTTGTTGGAACTGTTGAATTTCAAGTCTAGGCCATTTGTTTGCTGATTTGTCATTCCAGAATCTCACCTGTGCCACTAAAAATCTGCTGTGGTATATCCTAAACACATTATGTACAGTCTAGTCTCTACAGAAAAACACCTGCTCCTTATTTATCCCAGGTTTAGCAAACTGAACAACACACAATAATGAATACTGAAGCAAAAGGTTGCTTAATCTTGTTGCAACAGCATTTTTCCCTAGAGAGAGCATATCATTTGTTCTTGCCAGCAATTTTGTAAAATTCAGCACTTTAGTCCAATAATGATCGGCCTCACTTCAATCTTCCTGAATGCTGTAAGAACATCACTAATTTTGATCCAGAGAACCTCTTGTCCAGCAATGCCATGCACACATAATGTGAAGGCTAACCATCAGCTAAAACTGCTATGACTTATTGTTCCTAGTACCAATCATACCCCAAAGGATTAGTCCATAAAAACCAATTCCTGCAGTTACTTTTCTTCTTTGTTTTGAGTTCCTTCATCTGTATTGCTTGAAGTTCACACATTTCCTTTGTGTACATATGAGAGGGCTATAAACTTGTTCAAGAAATGAAGCACATTATATTCTCAGGATGCCATCTGGGGTGATTTGAATGACAACCAAATTTCTGTGCTTTGGTAGTAAACCTGTAAATATGTAGAAAATACATGGCCCAGCTCCCCACCCCTGGTAGTAAGATAATTAAAAGGTCAAAATTTAACAAAGACCGAACTACCAATTGCAGAGGTAGGTTTTTACTTACTACACACTATTCCTTGATTTGTTACATAACAACGGAGATAATAGCACGTGGATTGTCACAGCAGAAGTTATACCATGAACGACAACCAAAATTTTCCATCTGATAGTAGTTTAATGTCTTTTTTAAAAAGGTTATTCATGATTACCCTACTGTGGCTAAAACCACTTTTGATTAAATATTTTAAATAAGAAAGCAATAATAGCTTCAGCTAAAAAAAACCTAGAAAAGTTATATGATCATAAAATACAACAGCACATAGGTATATATATATTTAAAAAAGAGTGATGGAAATAGTTTTGAAGGCAGCAAATAAAGTTCAGGCAGGTAAAAATGAGTCTGACCTAATTAGTTATGAGTTATGAATCAGCCAAGGGATTTAAAAAGTACTGGGCACAATTCAGTCCCACGGTGGACATAGTAATTTTGTGCAGGAAATTTCCATAGGCTTTGTAGAGCCCTGATTCCTCCTCCTACCTCTAGGGGCACTGTGAGGGGGGCAAACAGGTTACTGTTGAGCCTGTGGGGATTCCTTTGGAGAGATTATTGTGCCCATAGTGCGACAAAACTGTGTCCACTGAATATTTCTGTAAAAGAAAAAAGGATTCAAAGTGCAGGTGCTCCAATTGTCATTCAACATATCATTCAGTAAATTATTACATTATACATTGTTCATCTATATAATAAAGTGACAGTGTTTTCATTAAGACTTTCAAACATTCAGTTACATATTCTTGCAGATTTTTTTAAGATTACATTTAATAAAGATTTATGCAGTTCATCTATGAATTCTTGATCTACAATACATTAGATTCATGGTAATGCTT